CCCAAACCCAAACCCAAACCCAAACCCAAACCCAAACCCAAACCAAAACCAAAACCCAAACCCAAACCCAAACCCAAACCCAAACCCAAACCCAAACCCAAACCCAAACCCAAACCCAAACCCAAACCCAAACCCAAACCCAAACCCAAACCCAAACCCAAACCCAAACCCAAACCCAAACCCAAACCCAAACCCAAACCCAAACCCAAACCCAAACCCAAACCCAAACCCAAACCCAAACCCAAACCCAAACCCAAACCCAAACCCAAACCCAAACCCAAACCCAAACCCAAACCCAAACCCAAACCCAAACCCAAACCCAAACCCAAACCCAAACCCAAACCCAAACCCAAACCCAAACCCAAACCCAAACCCAAACCCAAACCCAAACCCAAACCCAAATTATATATTTTCATTTCAAGAAATACATCCGGTAGATAGTACATGGGGATATTTCAAGAGAATGGATGGAAATCTGAAAGGTATATAAACAACTCCATTTTCACTGAAATTGATATCATGGTATGTAGCCACTCTAATTAGCATATGGTATCAATTTCATGAATATTGGTTCAGTAGATATTGAGTTGTCAACTCTATCACAATACTATAGACTTTTGAAATAAAATCACAGATTATGCTCCAACTCACTCATTATACGAACAGTCATTCTAAAATCGATACCACATAGATTACACATCAGTTAAATACACTGTTAATAGTTTGGAAACAATTCGTAGTACGTACAATTAGTGAGTCAGATAATGTTCAATGTCAATAGTGCTTATATCCAAGTGTACACTCTATCTCAATGAAAATACATCCAATCATCATGAAACTATACCATATACATTAAATCACATTTATATACATCTGGTATCAATTACATAGTGTTAGTATTGAATTCAATATGATAATAATAACAATCTGTCAAATTGTCACATTTCAACAAATAGAATATACTCCATCTCATTCATTTTACAAAATATCATACAAGCATCAAATATGAATACACTCCTCTTGATGAGGAGAACAATCTGAGAAAGTTTCATATTCATGGCTCAATATCTTTC